CTCCAGGCCTCTTGTAAGGGCTGGGTGACCAGCTCTTTGCAGTGTGTGCCTATTCATTCAGATGCCTCAACACAAGTGTATGTCAGTGGCTAAGTGCTGATGGCTCCTGACTCCATCTTCCCACTTCAATCAAGGACATGCCTGTAACCTAGCTACTCAGGAGGCTGAGATCTGAGGATCACGGTTCAAAGCCAGCCTGGGCAGGAACGTCCATGAGACTCTTATCTCCAATAAACCACTAGAAAACTGGAAGTGGCGCTGTAGCTCAAGTGGTAGAGCGCTTGCCTTGAGCTGCCCAAGCAGAGTTCAAGTCCCAGGACCGGCCAAAACAACAACAACAACAAAAAAAAAAGGACAGAAATTGTAGCGCTCTTTAAAAATCTAAGGCTGGCTTTCAGTTACTATTAGAGGGTCAAGAAGCTGTTTTTGGGCTGGGAATGTGGCTCAGTAGTAAAGTGCTTGCCTAGCATACATGAAGCCCTGAGTTCAATTCTTCAACACCACATAAACAGAAAAAAAAAAAACAAACAAAACAACTTGCAATAGAGCTATGGCTCAAGTGGTAGAGCACTAGCCTTGAGCCAAAGAAGCGCAGAGACTGCCCAGGCCCTGAGTTCAAGCCCCATCACAGGAAAATAAGAAGCTGTTTTTCTGCTGGAGAATTTTAAGCCCTTCTGTCTTTTTTAGCTCACTGGGTTTGGATTTGTTCTATTGCAAAGACTTGCAAGCCTGGGGTCAGGCTCTGAGCTACAATCTAGTAGTTAATGGACTCTGAGAGTCATTTCCTGTGTCTCCTGAATTTTTTTCTTTTTTTAATCTGTCATGGAGCTTGAATTCTGGGCCTGGGCACTGTCCTTGGGCTCTTTAGCTCAAGGTGAGCACTCTACCACTTGAGCCACAGTGCCACTTCCAGTTTTCTGGTGATTAACTGGAGATAAGAGTCTCATGGAGGGCTGGGAAGGTGGCTCAGTGCAGGCATGAGGCCCTGGGTTCGATTCCTCAGCACCATATAAGCAAAAAGAAAAAAGCCAGAAGTGGCGCTGTGGCTCAAGTGGTAGAGCGCTAGCCTTGAGCTGAAGAGCTGAGGGACAGCGTCCAGGCTCAGAGTTCAGGCCCCACTACTGGACCCAAAACAAAAAAACAAAAACAAAAAAAAAAAAAGAGTCTCATGGAGGGGCTGCGAAGGTGGCTCAGGTGTAGAGTGCTTGCCTTGCATGTATGACGTCCTGGGTTTGATTCCTCAGAAAAAGCAGAAAAAGCCAGAAGTGTTATTGTGACTCAAGCGGTAGAGTGCTAGCTAGCCTTGAGCTGAAGAGCTAAGCAGGCCCAGAGTTCAGGCCCCATGACTAACCCCCCCAAAAAAAGAATCTCATGGACTTACCTGCCTGGGCTGGCTTTGAACCACAATCCCCAACTTCTTGAGTAGCTAGGATTATGGGCATCAGCCACTGGCCCCCAGCTCTGAATGTTTTTTACATTTGCAAAATGGAGTGATTCTTAGCTTGAGGACTACGTATGAGAAGTAAAAGTGGCCTGGCGCTGGTGGCTCATGCCTGTAATCCTAGCTACTCAGGAGGCTGAGATCTGAGGATCGCAGTTCAAAGCCAGCTCGGGCAAGAAAGACCATGAGACTTTTATTTCCAATAAATCACTCAGAAAACAGGAAGTGTTACTGTGGCTCAAGTGGTAGAGTGCTAGCCTTGAGCTGAAGAGCTGAGGGACAAGGCCCAGAGTTCAAGCCCCATATCCGACCAAAAAAAGAACAGAAAAGAAAAGAAAAGGATCCTAGTATTAGTACAATCAGTGACACACAATAAATGCTTATAAATATGTAAAAACAATTGTGATGAAAGACTTAAACATTTGTTAGCTAGGTTGGTGGCTCTGGCCTGTAATCTTGGTTACTTGGAAGGCTGAGAATGAAAGGAACAATGTTTGGGGCTAACCCAGGGTATGAAAGTTCCTAAGACCCTTTCTCAACCCATAGTTGGGCATAGTGGTATATGCCTGTCATCCCAAGTAATGTGGGGAAACTAAGAATGGGAGGATTTCAGTTCTAGGTCAGTCTGAGTATAGAAATCTGTGAGACTGTCAATATGGAGAGAAGCTGGACTCTACCACTGTACCTGTGATCCCAGGGATGATGGGAAGCCTCAAAGTAGGTGCATATAAGCTTAAGTACATACCCAAGGTGGGGGGGGGGGGGGAGAGGGATCCTACATACAAATAATCAATGAAAAACAGGACTGTAGGCATGGCTCAACAAAATCCCAATTGCAGGCAGCACCCCCAAGTTCAAACTCCCCAGTACCACCTAAAAAGAAAAAAAGAGAGAAAGAAAGAATGAAAGAAAGACACTTAAGAATTTAGTGATAGCAGGTAGTCAAGAGAAGTGGTAAGGGGGCACAGAAATGGAGGGACCAAAAGTATACAAATGCAACATTGGCACTCACACATTTATGGTGAAAATGAACTATACAACTTGTGGGTGGGGATGGAAGGAAAAAATTGGGTGAGGGGGAAGAGGTGACATTGTCCAAAAAGAAACATACTTATTACCTAACTTAGGTTACTGTAACCCCTATGTATGTCACCTTCATAACAATAAAACAAATAAAAATATAAAGAAGTGGTAGAGGAAGCAGAAATATGTTTCCTGTGGCAGAATGCCAGCCCTGAGCGAAAAGCCAAGCAAGAGTTCAAAGCCTCAAGGCCCTGAGTTTAAGCCACAGTACAGCATCAGAGAGAGAGAGAGAGAGAGAGAGAGAGAGAGGACAGAGACAGAGACAGACAGACAGAGACAGACAGAGACTGAGAAGAGAGGGAGAGGAGGGCAGAGAGAGGCAGTAGAAGGGGATACAGCACTCTGGCAAAAGAATACTTACTAAATTATAAAGGAAATTGAGCAATGAGCTGGAAATTCCTCTCATACTTAATCAAAGAGAATGGCAAACACAAAAATTGTCTTGTGAAGAACAAAGAGTTGACCCAATGGATTTATTGTACATCAGGAAGGATTTTTTTTTTTAATTTCCTTCAAGTTGGGTGCCTGTGGCTCATTCCTATCATCCTAGCTACTCAGGAGGCTGAGATCTGAGGATGGAGGTTTGAAGCAGCCCAGGCAAGAAAGGCCAGGAAGTGGAGCTGTGGCTCAAATGGTAGAGTATTATTAGCCTTTAACACAAAAGCTCAGGGATAGTGCCCAGGCCCAGAGTTCAAGGCCCAGGACTGGCCAAAAACAAACAAACAAAACCCACATTGAATGAGTAGAGTAGAATTAAGTGTGGCACATTGAGGACTTAATTGGACCAGCCCACTGAAGCCCATTATAAAATGTAACTTAACATTTAAAGGCAATGAAAATAAAAGTGGCCCATGTCTGTAATCCTACAATGGTCTGGAGTTCTTTAAATGGGCCTGTTTTTACAAGCCACTACTCACACAACCAATATCAGTGACCATAGTCTGGATATTCAAGGTCTTGGAATTTTTTTTTTTTTTTTTTTTGGTAGGTCCTGGGGCTTGAACTCTGGGCCTGGGCGCTGTCCCTCAGCTCTTCAGCTCGCGTTCTACCACTTGAGCCACAGCGCCACTTCTGGTCTTCTGAGTGGTTTACTGGAAATAAGAGCTCTCGGTCTTTCTTGCCCTGGCTGGCTTTGAACCTGGATCTTCAGATCTCAGCCTCCTGAGTAGCTAGGATTACAGGTGTGAGCCACCAGTCCGGTCTTGGATTTCTTAACTATGGGACCTTGGGCTCTTTTAAAAATTGCCTTAACTAAATTCAATCCTTACAATATCTTTCTACCCAACCTTTGACCTCAGCACATTTAAGCTATATGTAATATAGCACCACATATAAGCTTCAAACTGCCATGGATACTGAAACTGAATGATTTCCCATATAATCAAACACAGCCCACCTGCCCAGGAAATAGCTATTAATGTTAGCTTCCCAAACTTTCTGAGGTCATTCCTTTGATGACCCCAGAGGGAGGCAGTAAACTGGAGGGATGGTGAACCAGGGCTTAATTGTTGCCTGAAGGCAAAGATTTGTGTGTGATAATGGCACAAGAAATGTAGGTTGGGGAAAAGGCACAGAACTTCAGGCACTAGAATTTGAGGGAGAATGCATTCATAACATTCAATATTCAATGGAAAATGGGGGAGAAGGCTGGAAAGGGTATTATTAAGATGTATTGTACTGGAAAACTGACATGCTGAAGGGCAACCCCTTCCTACAACTATAGATAAAATTCCAGGGCAGGAAAGAGAGGCACCACATGCACAGACACGCTTATCACACACATGTACATGTGGAGTGGAAATACATGCTATTTATAAAACCGAAGCACAGCAAAGGAACAGTGCTTGAGGGTGGCTGCTATTTGAGGAGACCCCAAAGAAGCGAAAGAGCAAAGCACGCGCCGCCGTTCTCTAATTTTCCAAGCAACAGAGAACGAAGTGCTCCTCTAAAGAGCCCCCGCCCGTCCACCCGGATAGGCGCAAAAGGCCGTCTCGTAGGAAACCCCGCCTTCTGTCCCCGCCTTCTGGATAGGCGCGAGAAGCCGTCTCCGAGGAAGCCCCGCCTTCTTCTCCGCCCAGAGGTGGGGCCTCGCACCACCCAGCCCTCGGTGGGCGCCGCGCAGAAAGCGCGCGCACCGCGATCCCGGCATGCTCTTCGCTTTCTCTGGGCGTGGAAAACGACTGGCACTCTGGGAAGTGTAGTTGTTGCCTGTCGATCCGAGTCCAAGCCGGGAAAGGGGGGGGGACCGTAAAAGCCGCTACATCCATTTCTGGCACGTGACTTGTGGCCCTGAAGGGAGGCCTTACAGGGGGGGTGGGGTGGGGGGGAGAGTCGTCACAAGAATCAGCCGGGCGAGCAGCGGGACCGCTCGCCGCCTCCGGCTCCGCGTCCTCCCCTGCTTCCCGGGGCGCACACCGGCTCCGCGCCGTTCCCGCCCGGCCGGCCCCGCCCGTGGGCCGGCGCCTCCCCTGGCTCTGCTGCCACCTCGCGCTCGGAGGCGTCACGGAACGTGCTCCCCCTCCCCCCTTCCCTCACGGCCTCCCCCCCCCCCCTCCCGCGCCGAGACTCGCCGCCGCCGCCGCCGCAGCCGCAGGAGTAGCCGCCGCCGGAGCCGCGCGCAGCCATGGCCGAGAACCCTAGCTTGGAGAACCACCGCATCAAGAGCTTCAAGAACAAGGGCCGCGATGTGGAAGTGAGTGTGCTTCCGCGGTCTGGGCCCGCCCGGCCGCGCCGGCTCGCCGGCGGCGGGGAGGGGCGGGGGGCCAGCGCCGGGCTGGTTCTCGCCGGCTTGCGGTCAGTCGGAGTTGGCCGCCGCCTCCGGTCACCGTGGCCCCGGGGCTGGCCGGGGTGGACGGCGGGATGCGAAGGCCGGGCTGCAGCCACCCTCCGGGGCTTGCCGGCGCGGGGACCGGGAAATGCCGGGGCTTTCGGCCCCGTCACGCGGGCGCGGCCTGGTGTTGGCGAGGAAGGGATGTGGAGCTTGAGGCGGGGTCCGCGGGCCGGGGCCGCGCGGGCGGGCGAGCGAGCGAGCGAGCGGGGATGCTGCCGCCCCGGGCCACCGACCGCACCACCGAAGGGACTGACCGCTGCTCGCGATCGCAGCCGGTGCAACCTCCCGCCCGGCGCGGCTCCCTCCGTGCCTCCTTCCGCAGCCGCACATGGAGCCCGGGCTCTGCTCTCCCGCGCCTACCTTCGGAGAGCGGGGCCCAGGCGGGCGGTGGCAGCCCGCAGAGGGGGGTGGGGACCAGCCGGGTAACTGACTTGTTTGAGGGTGGTGGATGGGGGAGGGTAGGATGCGCCAAGACCATATTCTTGTATTCCAATGGTATCCTTTGGACCGGTCGTGCTGGGCTGTTCCAGCGTAGACTCGTGTTCCTGCTGCCGCTCGGAGCGAGCTGAAGGTGGACAATAGTTTACCGTCTATTGTGTTGAGGGTTTCGGAAAGAGATTGTTTCGACCTCCGCTCTCAGGACGGAATTTCTTAGCCCTCCTTGGAGTGGGACTGTGATCGGATAATCATTTCTTGGGCTGCAAATCAACCGGATACATAGATTCCCACGTCCTGGTAAAGTCCCTCATGCACCAGGCTGCTAGGTTTTCCAGTGGTGGCAAACTGTAAACATTCATTGTGGTCACTCAGTTCGTTGCTACTCAGCATGTTGCCATTGTCTCATTAAGGTGACATTAGCAGCTACTATTTGCAAACTCGGCTTATTGAGGTAGCGCTAGAGGTCTCTCTGCAGCTACTAAAAGCAATGTAGTATAATCCATGAACTTCCCTGGGACTGTGACCTCTGAATTTGAAAGGGGGAAAATGGTTTTTAAGTCCAAGGTTTCCTTTTCTAATACCAGGTGATATCATTTACAGTTCTATAGAACTGTGTTTTACTGTGCGACTACTGTTTATTTTATCCATTCTTTTATCCCAGATGTGGGGTAAATAGCGTTTTGTCTTGTGGAGAAATAGACAAACTCAGGCCATTTTTCAGAACTACAAAATGAAATGCTAATTGGGAAAATCTTAGGGGAATATCTGTGGAATTCCCAATTGAGTAAGACAAATAAAGGTCACCTGTCTGTGTAAGAAATATTTATGAGCAAAGTGAAATTTAGGGATAGTAACTGCCTTCTGTTCTTGCTCCATTTGATGATGAGTTAATATTGGGCTCTTCCCTTCTACAGTGGTAATTTAAGCTTACTCTCATAAGCAAAATTTATATAGTTTGAAGAATACACACTGATTGGACAAAATGTAACTTTCTTTCATGGATATTAATATAGGAGGGGTTTTTTCTACTTATTTACCTCTGACGTTGTGCTCTAGGGGAAGCTTAGTGGTACCTGGCAATGACTTCTGCATATAATAGGTACATAGCAAATACTTGCTGCCTATCAGAAGGTAACTAGTGACTTTTTTTTTTCCAGTCCTGGGGTTTGAACTCTGGGTCTGGGCACTGTCCCCGAGTTCTTCAGCTCAATGCTAGCGATGTACCACTTGAGCCACAGCACCACTTCTGGTTTTCTGGTTTATTGGAGAGATAAGACTCTCAGGCTGGCTTTGAACTGTGATCCTCAGATCTCAGCCTCCTGAATAGCTAAGATTACAGGTGTGAGCCACTGGCGCCTTGCTACTAGTGACTTCTTTATGCATGAAAAAGTATGGTTGCTAAGCCATCAGCCTGATATTGGTTATATATTACATTTCCCAAGATACATTAGGGCAACTTAAGACATAAAATAGTACATATTCAGATGGCAGTTCTTTGTGTCAGGTACTATACTGTATTAAGAGCCTCATGAAACCTTAAATCTTATGAGTTAGGGCATTATATTCACTTAACAGACGAAAATAGTTTAGATGTAGTATCTCAGAGCGCTTTTGTAGTCTGCATATGTCATGCAGAGGGTTTGAGAATTAACTAATTGTCTATTGAAGGTATAATAGTGTTAACGTCTTGGAATAAGATTCAACCTCAAGGAGTTTACAGTCCAATGGGGGTGATAGCTGCAATTCAAAACACCAATAAGTGTTTTGATAGAGACTTTTTTTTTTTTTTTTGGTGCTGGTCCTGGGGCTTGAACTCAAGGTCTGGGTACTGTCCCAGAGATTTTTGATCAAGGCTAATGCTCCACCACTTTGAGCTACAGCTTCATTTCTAGCTTTTTGGTACTAATTGGAGAGAGTTTCATCAACTTCCCTGCCTGACTGGCTTTGAACTGGGATCCTCAGATCTTAGTCTCCTGAATACCTAGGATTTCATGCATAAGCCACTGGTGCCTGGCTGAAAATTCATGAAACTATACTATCTTGGAAGTTAGTTGTCTGGTGAGATGTCCTGGTTGCTGCCTGATAGATGAGTGGGTGTAAGCAGGCCCTGCCTGACTCTTTCTCTTCCCTTCAGCTAATTGAGGAGTCTAGGTATAATAGGGGGGACTGCTAAGATTGAGGGACAGAGGAGAAGAGGGAGAGAAAAAGAAAAGGCATTAGAGATGTGAATAGTGGATAACCTGGGGTTGAGTCTGATCTAGTGCCTTTCAGTTCTTAGTTTTTCATATTGGGTCTCCAGCAAACTTTGCCCTTGCTGGCTTCAATCCAAGATCCTCTTGTCCCCTGGCCCTGGGATTGATTCTTAAGTTTGCTCCTTTTCATAAAATACACTTAAAACTTTTCAAATGTACTTCTAGGAAAGTATGTGGAATAGAAATATTCTGCTTAAGGACTATTTTGAAAACCTTCAGGTTACTTTGTTCAAGTTAACTTTTCTTTTTCTTAATCCTGTGTATCTCAAGGATATGACAGTTTAAACAGTAATTAAAAAAATCTAAACACTTATTGAGTATTTGCAATATACCACTAAGTACTTTATATGGATTATTACTCTGTGAAGTACAAACTATTATTATCCCCATTTGCTGTTGAGGTAACTTGAGGCCTGCAACTCTTTAACTAATTAGTCTTAAGTCACAGCACAGTAAGGGTCAGAGTAAGGACTTAAGTCAGAGCATTATGACTTTGAAGCCAGAACTCTTGCTCACTTTGCTGTCCTCCACTAAAGGGGAGTTTATAATTTGAAAGTTTATAATCTGAACATTTATAATTTAAGAAAATATTGAAAAAATTGTGACTGTGATAGAAATTACTATTTTGGTAATCTTAAAAGTTTACTATTAAAAATGTCTTAATACTACTTAGATCTGAGTTATTTGCCCATTTTTTAACTGTTGAAAAGTTTTACTCTTAACAAAAAGACAGTTGATTTTTATTTAAAAAATCTGTACTTTAGTTTCTAATACTAGTGATGAAATATATTTTCTCCTCTTCAAAATCCAACTAGTACTTTCCAACTTTTCCTTCCTTCCTTCCTTCCTCCTTTCTTCCTTTTATCTTCCCTCCCTCCCTCCCTTCCTTCTTTTCCTTCCCTTCCTTCCTTCCCTCCCTCCCTCCCTCCCCTCTCCTTCCCTCTCTCTCTTTTCTTTCTCTCTTTCTTTCTTCCTTTCTCTCCCTTTTCTTTCTCTCTCTCCCTTTTCCTTCCTTCCTTCCTTCCTTCCTTCCTTCCTTCCTTCCTTCCTTCCTTCCTTCCTTCCTTCCTTCCTTCCTTTCGTTTGTTCTTTCTCTGGTCTTGGGTCTTGAACTCAGGGCCTGGGTGCTGTCCTTGAGCTTCTTTGTGTTCAAGGCTAGCGCTCAACCACTTGAATCACAATATTACTTCTGGCTGTGTTTGAGTAGTTTATTGGAGATAAGAGTCTCATGGGGACTTTTCTGCCCTGGCTCTCTTCAAAACATGATCCTCAGATCTCAGCCTCCTGAGTAGCTAGGATTCTAGGTGTGAGCCATGGTGCCCAGCTGCTCCAACTTTTCTTTGTGGAATATCTGTTGGTTAAGTGCTGTGACTTGACTTTCCAAGTTTATTGTTGATTCTTCACTCTTCACCTTTCATAGTCAGTCATACGGGGGCTGGGATGGTGGCTCAGTGGTAGAATGTTTGCCTGGCATGCATAAGGCCCTGGGATTGATTCCTTAGCACCACATAAGCAGAAAAAGCTGGAAGTGGCTCTGTGGTTCAAGTGGTAGAGCACTAGCCTTGAGCTGATGAGCTGAGGGACAGCGCCCAGGCACACACACACACACACACACACACCCCTCACACACACACACACACCCCCCTCACACACACACCCCTCATATTTGTACCTTTGTTACCAGCCCTGTCACTGCTGCTCCTGATTGAACCTTTACCATTCTCTTCTGTGCAAATTTAATAGTGTAGTTTTTCTGTTTTCAAAGTGTTTTCTTGCCCTAGTCCTTTCTAAAATCTTTCTATGCTGCTTTGCTGTTCAGGATGCTTCCTATTGCCTTCAGGGTTAAAAAACAAAACAAAACAGTCTGCTGGTGCTGGGTGATGCTCATGCCTGTAATCCTAGCTACTTAGGGCTGAGATCTGAGGATCATGTTTGAAGCCAGCCCTGGCAGGAAAGTCTGTGAGATTCTCATATTTAATTCACCACCAAAAAGCTGGAAGTGTATCTGTGGCTCAAATGTACTAGCCTACCTGAGCAAAAAATGTTCAGGGATTTTGCTCAGGCCCTGAGTTCAAGTCTCAGTTCAAGACCCAGCACACACATACACAAAAATGAGTCTTTAGCATGCCACACATAATTTCTCACAAGGCCCTGTTCTATTTTTCCATCTTG